AAGAACTGTCACAAACTCTACAAAAACTATTTCAGAAACTAGAAAAAGATGGGATTCTTCCAGACTCATTCTATGGTATCATTATATCCTTCATACCAAAACCAGCTGTTTTTACAAGTGAATTTTATCAAACATTCAGAAAAGAATTGTCACAAATTCTACATAAAATATTTCAGAAAACAGAAAAAGATGAAATTCAGAAAATAGAAAAAGATGGAATTCTCCCAGACTCATTCTATGGTATAATTATATCCTTGATACCAGGATACCTTGATGTCAGGATACAAGATCAACATGCAAAAATCTCTACAGTGGCAAAGAGAATACAGAACTGAAGCTAAGAAAAACAATATCCATCACAATAGCTAATCACAAAATTAAATACTTGGAAATAAGTCTAACTGGAAACACAAAGGACTTATTCAAAGAAAATGACAAAACGTTACTACAAGAAACGAAAAAAAAAAATCTTGGGAAATGGAAGAATATACCTTGTTCTTTAGATAGGAAGACTCAACATTGTGAAAATGACAGTTCTAACAAAGGCAGTCTACACATTCAATGCAATCCCAATACAAATACCAATTCAATTCTTCAACAAGATGGAAAAAGCAATATTCAATTTCATCTGGAAGGCAAAGATACTTCGAATAAGAAAATCACTCCTTAAAAAGAGAAACAAGGTAGGAGGAATCTCACTCGCTGACTTAAAATTCTACTACACTGCCATGGTGGTCAAGACAGAATGGTACTGGCACAATGATAGACACATAGATCATTGGAATAGAATTGATAACCCAGAAGTCAGCCCATCTACCTATGGTCAAATGATATTTGACAAGGATATGAAATCAGTCAAGTAGGGAAATGACAGCCTTTTTAACAAAAGGTGATGGCAAAATGGAAAATTCTCTGCAGAAAACTCAAGTAACATCCACACCTCACATCATACACAGAAATCAACTCAAAGTGGATCAAGGACCTAGGACTAAAACCAAGGACTACAAACATCATCAGAGAAAAGCTTGGAAGAACTCTAGAAGCCCTGATGCACTACATCTGTCTTCCAAGCATCCTGAAAAACTGGGAGAAGGTAAAATAGGTGAATGGGATATTCTAAGAATCAAATCCCTATGCACATCCAAACACTTCTCCACCAGGGTAAAAAGGAAAGCCACAGACTGGGAAAAAACATT